TCCTCTCTACCTGTCCCACTCTTTCTTGCTCCCATGGACAATGTTTTTTCTGTTAAGGTTTTGCAGGTGGACACAATGCTCATTCATGTGACATCTGATCCTCGCCCAAGGACAGCACTCTGTGGTGACTACTTTTTCAACTACTTCACACGCGGTGTGGATATCCTTTTTGATGGACGGGTAAGTCTGTCATTAGGTGCGCGTGTCGTTATACTTGTCCAGACAGATGTGCTAGATGCCTGCTCAATGCTTAAGATGTAGAAGGCTTTGCACTGCAGATTTCTAACACATTTGTCCTCCTCATCCTGCGCCTTATCATCGTCTCCCTTCCTTCCACTGCTTCCGCAGTCAGCTACCCAGTTTGTAAACTGAAGGCAGCAACATGTAAAGCTTGCCTGACATGTTGGGATATCGGGGTTCGACCTGGGTAAGATTTCTGACTACACGGAGGAAGGAGGCTGGTGGCAGGCTTATGCCAAAGGCTGCATGCCCTCACTTACACGTTGGAAAGAGATGGGTGCGTGAGAATATCAGTGCTGTGAGCTGGCCGGCCTGCACTGATACCACTCTTGCATGCTCTGGTGTCTAAGGCGCATGTGCGTGGAGGACAGACAACACAGTAGTAACAGTGATTCTGGCGCTGATCTGTCTTTGAATCTGTGTGAAAAAGGGATCGATGCTGGCGCCAGAAAAAGAGGTATGGTCTGAAACGGCAGCATATTGATCCTGATGTAATGTCAGAGTGGGTTCATGTGGAGGCGTCTATGGCAGAACCGAAGTGGATCTATGGGGGTACTTTTTTCCCACGAAGATGTGCAAGTGTTGTTGTGCTTTCTCGAGGAGAGAGCAGTAATTGCTCCAAGCTTTGTTTTGTTCAGTTTGGCGACAGACAGTGCCAGACAGTCTGGCTCCGTGAACTCAAAGAGGTCTTGGGTGGTGGGTTGTGTGGAGAAGGCTTCTTCTATTCTGCCAATTTCTTAAATGTTGTTTCTTTGTTTCATGAATAACCTTCCTGCGCTTGCTAATTTTCTCTGTATCATTCCAGTTCTGTCAGATGGCCCCAAGGGCCTTTAGCTGCATTCCTTTATTAGGAAATGACAGTGCGTGTCCTTCGGGACATCCGTTAAAATTGGAATGATACAGAGAAGATTAGCATGGCCCCTGCGCAAGGATGATACGCATAAATCGAAAAATGGTCCAAAAAAAAAAAAAAAAAGGAAATGACAGTGCGTCGTAGGATGGGGCAGTGAATGCACCGGTGGTCGCATCTGTGCTTGCGCATGTCCCACCCCATCTGTGTGTGTTTTCAGTGAAATCATCTCAAGGGTAAGAGAGAAAGGCTGGCCACTTTTGTGTGGTTATTAGTTAAGCTCCAGGTCCCCACACATCTGTTGGTTTACGACAGGCAAATCTGCACATTCTTAGAAAGAGGGAGGCGGGCAGGAAAGAACCAATCTGCACGGAACAAGAAAAGTCACAAATCAACCACATGCGACAAATGGATCCCAAAAAAATAGGCCAGACTGTGCTACCGTGTGAGCATGTAAGCACCACCGCCTGTGGCCCAAGTCAAAAACAAAAACAAAAAAATAAAACAGCATGCATGGAGGAAGGTTCACTTGGGTCGGCTCGTGGCAGCCCCCCCCTGAAGCAGGTGACTCGTACTGCAAGGGCAGGGCTGAGTCTTCTTTGCTTTCCTTCTCTTGTTGTTTCTTGTACTCTTGCTTGCCGGTAATAAGCAACCGGACTGACGCCTCCCAGCATAGAAGGGGCTCGTGTATTGTGTGAAAAAAAAAGGAAAAAAAGAAAGGAGACAAGGTTCAGCCGCTCAACTGTGTGTATGTGTGCACACGGGAAAGTGCATGTGTGTGCATGGGTGTGCATGTTACATAGGATTGGTTTATAGACCCTGAGAGTCTGAGATAATCTTTTTTTTTTTAGTTCGAACTTCGAACTCGGGTCTGTATTTCAACAGTTCAGGAGTGTACCAACTGACCTTGAGGTAACCTTGTTGATTTGGTTGTGTTGACAGACACACAGGATAAAGAAGTTCGTTCTTCATTCGAACTACCCAGGTCATCCGGACTTCAACATGTACATCAAGTGCAACTTCAGCATCGATTGTCCTGCTGGTAAGATGGTTTCTCAACTCAGCGAATTTTTAGGGCTGCTGTCACAATACTGTGTCTGGTTGTGGGGGCTACCTCTTCTCCACAAAGGAGGAAGCCATAGTTGTGCCCCACACCGGGTGAATGCTCTGTCTTCGCTTCAACCTGCAAGCTCACTTAGCTCAGTCTTTTTCCTTTTGAGTCCTGACACAGCGGCTGACATAATCTGACCGCTCAACAACTGTTCACCGGTGTGCTCAAGTCTGCAGATCATGATGCTATGATTTGAAAAAATTGAGTCGATGGGGCCATATGCTTGTGCTGGTTGAAGCATTGGCGGGTCAGCAAAAAACGGCAGTGTGGGGCCGAAGTTACTGAGATGTACTTCCTCATCACCCAGGCCCTCTGGGTGGCCAATCAGGGTGGCAGTAGCAGTAAGAGGCCTGCAGCAGAACATGCATAATCATACACCTTTTGTCAAACATCATGTAGGAGAAGAAGGTGATGCAGCATACTGACTGCACACATGCGTGAGGGGTGCTGTATTGCAGTGTCTGCTGCAAAAATTTGGAAACAAGAAGGAAAAATAGGAAGACTAAATCTATGTTACTCTGGGTCGCCTGGCCGGGCAGCCAGGCTTGGGCAGGCCAGACTGCACCTGCCCTGTTAACCCAGTGTGGCATACTGCGCAGCCACACGGGCCTGCAGGGCCCAACCAGCGTTCTCAGCCTAAAAGCCTGAAAACAAGGGCCTACAGGCCCTGTGTCGTTTTCAGCCTAAAAGCCTGAAAACAAGGGCTTACAGGCCCTGTGTCGTTTCAGGCTGAAAGCCTGAAAACGAGGGCCTGCAGGCCCTACGTCGTTTCAGCCTAAAACAGGGCCTTCCAGGCCCTGAGTCGTTTCAGCCTGAAACGGAGGGCCATTTTCAGGCCCTCGTAAGATCGACCTGCCCTGAAACTTAGGCACCAGACCAGCGTTTTAGCACAGGCCATTTTTGGCCTGTTTTCAAGACAACCCTTGGTTGAACTTCAACGCCAGGGTCTGGCACGTTTTGGCATTGGCAACAGCAGCCTCCTGGACGGGCCAGCACTATATAAGACTGGCCCGCCCAACAGGCTGCAGGCAGGCACGAGGTAGTTCCTAGGAACTTCCCAGGCACTTCACGTGCAGGAGGCAGGAGGCAGTCTTCAGGATTCGGCAGCAGCACTCTGGAGGAGCGCTGCAGTAGTAGTAGTAACGTTAGCAGTAGTCTTCAGCGCTGGGCACTATTAGGAGCTAGAGTAGCGTTGGAGAGAGGGAGATGGTTGGCGGAGGCCAGGGAGACTTACCTGTGGCGCCATAGCTCCAGCTTCGTCTTCGATGTACCTGCAACAAGGCGCCACCTTCACAGGTTAGTACCGGACTAAGAGAGAGAGAGAGTTCTTCCTCTTCCTCGTCTAAGTCCACCATCTCTCCCTCACCCTCTCGCTTCCTAACTTCTCAGTACCTGCAGACTACGGGTGGGAGAGAGATTGGTGACTTTGGGACTTGACGACGTTTGGTTCCAGACTCGACATTGGGATTCAGACATCTGACCAGGGTTATTTGGGACCTGTACCGAAGACTTGGTGTTGACGACATTCCCATCTCCCCTTCTTCTTCGTCTAACCCCCCTCTTCTTCGTCTGTGTATGGTTGGGGACTGGCGCATTCTTCCTGTGTGAGCGCCAAGCCCCTTCACACCATGGAATGATGGTGATGTATGTTTGGGCTGCATTGCAACATTGATTGTTCGGATCATTGGTATTTGAGCCTTCCGCTACGCTATCTTGTACTTTGTGAGAGAGGTTGGTTCTTGTTCTGGTCTGCACCTTCACGGTATGCAACAGTTCGGTATCGGAGCGGACCTCTCAATCAGAGGACCCGCTCAATCAAGTAGCCAGCTTGCTTGATCTATTGATTGTTGAATGATTGGTTGCTTGATTGATTGATTGATTGATTGATTGATTGATTGTCTATTTAACGCTATTAGTAAATCAAGTACGACTTCGTCAAATCTCTGAATTTTTTTTTCTCTTTCTCGCAACAAATATCTGAAATTTCTGATAATAGCATTTCGTTTTATCTGAAAATTTCCATACTTGCGGCGCACCGGCACTGTGCGCTGCACAGTGCGCTGTGCGCGGACCCAGGGTGCGCGCGCACCGGCGCGCGCCGCGCATCTGGGTGCGCAGTGCACGCTGCGCGGTGCGCTGCGCACGTCCGGTGTGCTGCACGCATGTGCGCAATCTATATTTCCATGTTCTAGCGGTGGATTCATTTGATTTTGTTCTCTCTCTCTCTCTCTCTCTCTCTCTCTCTCTCTCTCTCTCTCCCCCCCCTCGCGACTTCTTCCGCCGCTTCCCACCAGCCCACCTTCGGCCTCTCTCCCGCCTTCCGCCATCCACCATCGCTACTTCTCTCTCCCTCTTCCC